CTCTCCTCTGTCTCCCTATGCTTCTATATGCCACCATTACACATTACTAACTTTGTGTCTCCTTTCTCCCGTAGTGTGTCCTCTCTCTCTCTCTCCGTACTTTTCTGCAGGTTGCCCTGGCCCTGGAGCTCTACATCTCTGATGAGCAGTCACCGGCCACATCGACCTGATCAGTGTTTGATTGTTGTGTCTTGTTGCTTTTCTTCTTTTGTCTCTCCTCTATCCACTCACCCCAACCGGTCGAGGCAGAAGGCTGCCCACCTAGAGCTGGGGTCTGTCGGAGGTTTCTTCCGTTAACGGGAGTTTTTCCTCCCCACTGTCGCCAAGTGCTTGCTCAAGGGGGGTTTGTTGGGTTTTCCCTATGTAATAATATTGATAACAGTAAGGTCTAGACCTTACTTTGTAAAGTGTCCTGAGATGACTTTTGTTGTGATTTGGCGCTATACAAATAAAATTTGATTTGATTTGACTATATGTCCCCTTGCTCACCTCAGGAGCTACAAAGTTGGCAGTGTAGCATGGGGTCATCAGCAGGCCATTGTTGGCACGCAGTTGCTTAGCAAAGCCAAAGTCACAGATCCTGATTGACTCCGGATTCCCCGACTCATCAACATAGAGGATGTTGCTGGGCTTCAGGTCTCTGTGCACCACCTATAAAAAAAAACAAGCCAACACAGGAGTGAGGAGCTAAGTAAAAAACAGATTTTTTTAACCCAGATTCCATGTCCTCCTGCAACCAAAGGTTGTGATTTCTGCTGTGAGAATACACCCAACGCCATTTTACAGTAACTGAGGTCAATGCAGCTGTGCTTCTGAATACTGTACGCACCTCATAAGTAAAAACACAAAGAAAACATTATTAAAACAGTGTGTTTCACTGCAAATTGTATTTTTTGAATCTGTTAACTACATTTTTTTATATGAACAGCCATTAGAGAACAGGCATTTCTGTCAGGAATCTGGACTGATCAAATGCAGTATATTGCAACTCCAAAAAAAGCAAAGCTTCCTATGTGTTATTAGCTGTTACCTCAAAAATGAGAATTTTTGTAGCTGAAATGGATGAATACAGATTAGAGATGACACCTGGGTTAATTAGATTTGACTGGATATGCCCAATATGCTGAAAATTATGTTTGCAAATGGATGTGCAGTAAATCAGCCATTAATAAGATCAATACAAACCACCCTAAACTCAGTAAATATACAGGGGCTAGGAGCCTAACTGGCTGTTTTTTGTCCTCACCCCCTGTGAGTGCAGGTACTCGACAGTCTTGGTGATGGTGTGAAGCACAGCGCTGGCCTCTCTCTCTGAAAAGAACTTCTGTTTGAGGATTCGATCCAGCAACTCTCCTCCACGCATCAATTCTGTCACCAGGAACACCTGCTTACCATTGTCGTACACCTGAGACAGAAACACACACACACACAACCAACCATGCATTATCACTGTTAACTATCACTGTGACATTCAGGATAGTTAAAAGTGAGACAAATATCAGTGTGATACACGTGCGTTTTTAAACTCACATCCTTCAGAGTGATGATGTTGGGGTGCTGTCCATATCTAAGCAGAATCTCAATTTCCTCAGAGGGGTCTGTACTGGTCTTGTCAATCATCTGTCAGTCACCAAAACAGCAGTCACATGAAGCACAAGATAAACTGTCTTGTACTTTTCTACATTTTACTCACAAACAGGTGACAAACTAAGGAAAAAACCAACAGTGTTTTAGTAAGGTGTTGGGTCACCATGTGCCACCAGAACAGTTTCAGTGCATCTTGGCATTGATTCTACAAGTCTCTGAACCATACAGCAGGGTTGAACACCATTCTTCTAAAAGATGTTCCCTTATTTGGTATTTTGATGTCAGTGGTGGAGACACTGTCGAACACGTCAGTCCAAAATCTTTTGTAGGTGACCGTGAAGACCATAGCATATGATTTGTAACATTTTCAGGCTCATTAAACCATTCAGTGACCCCTTGTGCCCTATGGATGGAGTCCCTTTCATCCTGGATGAGACCACTTCCACAGGTTTATCCTTTAATGAGTCACCTGCTTATGATATGCCAAAACTCATCTTACATCATAATCATCATTAATCATATTACAGAGATACAGTAGTGACTGTTCTGCATAATTTGTGTGTGTGTGTGTTCATACCTTGACAGCATATTCTGTGTTGGTGGTTTTGTGGACACATCGTTTACAGACAGAGAAGGAGCCCATGCCGATGTCTTCCTTTAATATGTAGCCATCACTGAACAGCATGTTCTTCCCATGCAGTTGCTGGAGAGGAAGAGTTGAGTGTGTTAGCTGTGAGCGGAGGAGTGATGGATGGACAAAGCAGATGAGGTAAAGGAATGTTGATGTTTTTCGTGAAGGAATCCATTTCTCTTTTGGCACTGGAAAACTGTCTCTTTTAATCTGCCACTTGAAGTTAATTATTCATGATCCTGTTTCATGACTGGCATGAAACAGGATCTGAAACCATGTAATTATGCACACTTTACACAAATCTGTCTTTTTCTCTCCTCTTTCATGTAATCAACACAACTTCAGTGTAACACACTGAGGGGGAGACATTTGTGAACAACTACATGCTACAGTTGTCCTTAAATAAATTAAAGCAGTGTTGAGAGATGGGTGTCTTCTTTAGATATTGTAGCTGCAGTTTGTGTTTTCACTGGATTTCAAGGGGAGTTTCTTCCTTTACTGTTTTAAAGGTAGGGTTGGCGATCCCGGAAAAACCAATAAGAGGAAGCTCGATTTTGAAAGGAGCCAAATGAGGAAATCCCACCCTTCATTCTGACTTCTGTCCAAAGCCACTCCTCCAAACCACAACGCACACCGCCTGACTACTACTTACAGATTTATATAAAATAACAAACAAAACCAAACAAAGTGAATAATTACCTGTCCACTAGAAATGCGGCCACCATGGCATCACTGTTCAGCCCCTTTTGTTCTCTCACTTTCACCACTGTTCAGAAGCCACACCAGTGTTAACTCTGGTTTTACTTCTTGCAGCATTCAACTTCTTTTTAGCTGTAACCTTCTCAAATACGGTGTTACCTGCCCAGATCTGTGGCCCTGAACCATAGCTGGCGACCTCTGGTTTAAACTGCTTTAACCCTGGCTCGTAGCTGGTAACTAGCCTTAGAAGTCCGGGCTTTTCCGGCAGATGGAAGTGAAGAGGGAGGCCACTTACTGTAACTCCATTCAAAACACAGGCTTTATCTTGGTAACACGAACACTGCATGTAGCCTTTGGTGCCAAGTTAACTGCATTACAACCCTGTCTATACACTTAGAGCTGACTACTGTTGATATTTTCCCCATCCGTGCCTGCATGTAAAGGGAGCCTGTTGCATGAACACCTGGTAGTTTAAATGAAGTAAAAACACAGTGAAACAACTACTCAGTCTCACCTGGACCACAGGATGTGGTGGGGGTTTCATTGGCTCCACTGAGCGTTGCTCGTCCATCATAGTTGTCGCAACAAAGCTGAAGCCTCTGAAGAGCTGGTGAGCTCCAGCGCTTGGGGGCACGCCAGGGGAGTCTAGTTCAAGATGATAAGGAAAGTCAAAAACTGGAAAAAGTTTGATGCTTTTTGTCTGAGATGTCACTGCAACAAAATGCTTTCAAACTGACTCCTGCTATAATAAAGTGCTATTTTATCTTAATGGTGCTATAATCACCATGGTGTCTACTAAACATCATCAAGTATTGATTTGTTTTTCATCTGAGAGAGGAAATATATAATACTTCCACTGAAATGCTTTCAGGAAAGAAAACAGACATGAAGTCATTTCATAAAACAGCAGAGATGAACTTTTAGCTTTGACCTCTGACCTTTAGGGGTGCGGGAGGTGAACTCGGAGTCGAAGTAAAAAGTGTCATCTGGACGAGCCACTGCTGGTCTGAACGGAGGCTTTAATTCTTTCCTGAAGAGTTTCTGGAAGAAATAAAGGACTTTTAGTTATACCATGCAGTTAACGTTTTAAATATAATGTATGGCGGCTGTTCTAACAGAAAATCATCCCACTGTATTTTTTACTGTGCATAAATTGACTGTTATGAATATTTCAGACACTCACATTCCAGTCTATGGTGGAGAAGAAGCAATGTCGTTTAATCTCCTCTGCACCATCAGCACCAGATCCTATTAGTAAAACATCAGCATTTAGCCTTTATACACAAATAAACACAGAACTAGACATGATCTGTCTCTGTAATACTGTGTCAAACAGTGTATAAACTACTATCTGCAAAAGCCATGTTTACAAGTTCATACTAACCCAGTCTGTTGGCAGGGTTCCTCTTGAACAAAGCCCTGAGCAGAGATTGGGCCTCTGCACTCAGGAACTGAGGCATCCCCAGGCGTGCCCTGCAAACAGACACAGATGGCACACAGCTTAAACCACAGCCCCAAATATCAAGAAGTGAGGCGTTTTGGATAACTACAATACAGTATGTGATGATGTGTCTTCTGTGTTGGATTGCTCCTCCATCCAGATGATACTTACTTCAAAATCAGATTCATAGTTTCTTTGCGGTCCTTCCCTTGAAATGGCAGCGCTCCTGTCAACATCTCAAACTGGGAGAGAGAACACACGACTATAATCTACTTGTACAGCTGCATAATCTGCAAGTGCAATCAATTTTATTAACACTCCAGGGCTCTGTAAAATATTACAATTTACAAAACAAACAAAAATCACAGGAGAGGATTTTTACCATTAGTACTCCAAATGACCACCAGTCAGCGCTGTGAATGTGTCCCTGCCTGTTCACGACCTCTGGTGCCATGTACTCCACAGTACCACAGAAGGAATACGCTTTCTTCTCATGATCAATGGCTTCTTTACACAGACCAAAATCTGAAAAACACACAAGCCACAGTTAATACAATATTACACAGCATTGTTGTTAAGCAGCTATATTTTAAGAGTCATATACTGAAGAAAATGTGCCAGTTTTAATTTGCAGTGCACAAGCAGCAAAACTATCAACAAGATTAATGCAATGCTTCATCTTAAAACACTTTATCTTTGCTGATGTTTGTGCCTCTGATGCGTCACCAGTGTAGCCTCTCTAGGTCACCTTTGATTCAGTGGCACCATGACCCATGATAAATAAATGGCTGTGTATGGCTGACAAGTGTAATAATTAACCTGGAGAAAATATGCACGCCCATATGCACGTATCTGCAAGATAAGGCGGCCACTGCAAAGAAGGTCAGCGAGGTAGAGGAGAGGAAAATGTGTGTGTGCCCAACAAAATGGATGGGTGTAAAATCAGGAAAAGGAGACACACCTGTGAGTTTGATATGTCCCACCTCATCCAGAAGAATGCTAGAACAACACATTGTTAAATGTCAGAAGAGTGAACATCTTAGAAAGTTATCACACACTGGTACCAGTTTAGACTAAACTGCCCTTTTGTGCCAAACCTTGCTCTGCTGCAGTCTGGGTTGTCGCCAGCAACACGCAGGTATTTTAGGAACATAATCACAAACCTCAACATAACCTTACTGACTTTCTGATCACTAGCAGCTATGTAATGTTTCATAAGTGCATTTGTAACTTGTGTTGCACATGTGCACAGCACAAGCATGAAGGAACTGCAGAAGCCTGGGGAATGTTTATCAGTAGGTGGTGGCAGTAATGAACCATAAAAAGCAGCAACATGCCAATTAAAATGGAAAAATAAACAACAGTAAGTGATGTAAACAAGGCTTGGCAAATGTTTAATAAGGTAGGTTTGCATTCATAATATTAGTCAGGCCTAAAGGATGGTGAGGAATAATAATTGCGAATGGTTGAAGTGCTAATTGAAAACTCCACCAAGTGCTTTTATAGTGCAATAACAACAGAATAATTTATAATTCTAAGCATAAAAAAAAAACCAATCACTGTTTGTCCAGGTTCTTGGTAACTGCGTTTTTTTAATAAATTACTCCAAACTAAAGCTTCTTCTGAGAGCACTGCAGCTTTTTAAAATAAAATAATGAATGTTTATATGCCTGAGTAATTCCTGAGTTGCAGATTTATTCTCCTGGGTTTTGACTTTGGAAATTTAAAACGGTCCCAACTTTGACAAAAGGTCAGTGATGTTGCTGGTGGGCATATGAATCTGACATAACCAGAGGTAACACTATTCATCACATATGTATCTGTGTTCATTTCTGTCTCTGACTGTGCCTTCAGCTTGTCCCCTTGGTCTTACTTTTCAGGTTTGAGGTCTCTGTAAATGATGCCCAGACTGTGGAGGTGGTCCAGTCCTAATGCCAGCTCTGCCAGATAAAACTTCACATCCTCCTCTGTGAACATCACCTGGGATGCACAAACACACAAAAGGAGGAGGTGAGACACAAAAAGTGAGATATAACGTGACAGAAGCCAGACAATGGACAAAATTAGATAAATATTTGTCAGCAAGTGAGATAAATGACTAGACTCACAGCTGAAGAAATGAAAGCCTGACCTTACACAGCAAAACACCCCAATCTAATGAATCACTCTCACCTCTTTAGAGAGTCTAGTGAAGAGGTCTCCTCCTCGGAGGAAGTCCAGGATCAAGTACAACTTCCCTTCAGTTTGAAATGCTACGAAATAAACAATAATAGACACTTCATTCAAATCTCATTCAATTGTAAATGTATCAACATAAGTGAAGAAAGTTTCTGGAGTTTTAAGCAGTTAAACAGTGACTGAATCAGCAGATCCAGTAAAACACTTCCTAGGATTTCTAGGATAAAAAGAAATAAAGCTTCAGGGCAACTCACCATAGTGCAGTTTGACAACAAATGGGTGGCTGACATCTGCCAGAATGTCTCTCTCCATCTTGGTCCTGACACGGTCTCTCACTGGAGGATGAGTAAAAACAGAGTTTAATGTACAGTATTTGCTTGAAAGTGCAGTTTGTGGAACCTGGCAGTGGTCATTCAAGTTTGGTAAAGCTGTCAGACTTGGATAAAAAAAAAAAAAGCTGAATTTGTAGACAGTGAATCATCGTTGTGCATGCAGCATGTTGAGTGGCTCGTGCTGTTCACAAACAGGATTAATGACAAATTTTTCTGCACACAATCTGTTCTGACTGAATGGTGAGTAAAGTCAGTCATATATCTTGTGGTTAGACTCCTGTATGCTAAATGTGTGTGCCAATAAAATGCAAATCAAATCTATAAATATGTGCATGCAGAACAAACCAAAATAATTATGGGGACTGTGTGAATTAATCTTGATAGCTTGATGTTTATCAAGAAGAATCACACCACCTGTGTGCAAAAGAGGAAAACCCACTGCAAGCCATGGTGGTCTCTGAGTTACAGGAAAAGCATACACCCTTTTACATGAAACTGAGGGTTTGCCACCTAAAAGAAAACAATGATGAAAGCGCCACAAATGCCACAGAGAAATCATACACAGAGTTCAGGGTGCAGCTCTGCAAAGGTAATAATACAAGGTTCCACCTAACGATTAGCTTCATTAGCCATTAGTATGGTGATTCTTTTTAAAGTGATTCAAGTGTCAGAACACTGTTAGAAATGCTCATGATAATTTACTGAAGTTTAAGGTAACACCTTCAAATTGCTTATTTTGTCTGACCAATTGCCCCAAACTCAAACATAAATAATTTACAAACATAAAAAACAGAAAAGGAATCTGAAACTTATGAATGTTGGAGTTTTTTGTCTTGCAAAAACTTTTAAGTGATTACCAGTTTTCCTGCTGTTTCAGATTCTGACTATCAACTAATTGTTTCAGCACTACATACAAACATGTTGCTATTAATGCAATGATGAGAAAGCAAGATTCAGTATATTAAAACAGCTGCAGAGCAACTCTTAAAGATAAGGACTGACTTGATATTTTATGAATGTAAACTATCACCTGCTGAAGTGTTAAGACAGGTTTATCAGGCTGACAGCGAAGGTCATGAAATTTCAGACCGGTTATGAGAATCTTTCTGACACAATGCTAGCCTTTCATGCTGTCCCACTGTTATGTCCCATCACAAGCTACTGTACCTTTGAGTGTGGCCTTCTTGAGGACCTTCATGGCATAGAGTTGGTTAGCATCTGGAGGGGTAACCTTTCGCACCAGGAACACCTGCAACATGGGCAAAAACACCACAAAAGCGTGTTATATAAGCAGCAACCTCCGAGGCTGAGAAATGAAGCCAATGTGGAAGCGTTAAAATTTGCAGTTCCTTGAATGGCTACTTGAGGCTGGCTTCAAAAGGAAGTCAATCTCCATAGACCCCCATTCTCAAATGCCAAACATGTTTACCTCCTCATATAAAAAAAAACAGTTTTGGTATGGGAGTGAATTTTTTAACAGGCTAACTTTCTGTTTTAAATTATATTGAGGCTTAAAGTTATACATTAATTAAGGGTGTGGCCACTTTGAGTGACAGATGTGAGGGCCCCGCCAAAGGCGGCTGGTCGCTAGCTGTCTAGCAAGCTCCACTCACACTCCACCTCTTTACCATTTTTGGATTAGCTGGAGTTAGTGAAGCACTACCATGATGGCGACGGCCAGACCTGAGCTTCAAAACCACTCTTCAGAAAACCAGTGGCTGATGATGATGGTTTGTCCATTTTTTTTAGATAATGGTTATATGAAATCTGGGAGAAGGAGGATCTATAGGAGGGAGAGAAGAAGAGCAACACCAGACAAAAGGAGTAGCTGAAAGAACAGTTGTGAATATATACACGTTACCTTGCCAAAGGATCCCTGTCCCAGGACCTTGAGTAGTTCAAACTGAGAAGCATCAGCCTTCTCTGAGCCCTCTTTGACCACATGAGTAATATTGATCTCCTTGATATCTCCATCATCCTGCAGAGGGCAGAAATGAGGTGTAAAAAACAGTAAGCAATCACACCTGCAACACTGAGGTTACTGTAGATGTGTTTGTTAGAAAAAGTGTTTGCACCCAGTGGTTAAAGTGTGTGTGTGTTTTTTCTGGAAATGACAGTGACTGCAACTTTAAATGAAAATTGTGACAATTAACCCCTGGTGCACTTTTTTAAAGGTTTAAATATTTCTGAAAACAAGCTGTATAACCTCAAGCTCGACTTTTTTTTGTTCAGAAGCTTTTCACACAACTTCTGTGACTGGGTGGAGCATTACTGACACCGCTGTGAACTCCAGCACATGCAAACTCGCTGCTGTCCTGCTGCCAAACTCAGCCACACCTCATCAACAACAAAACAAAATCATCAAAGCAAAGCATCATTAAATTTAACAGTGTAGTTGGAGGGGAAACATTTTTTTCAGCCTCTACTCGGGAGGTTCACAGCTACTTACTAGAGTTTCATTTCAAAATGCAGGACTAGAAAGTAGAACATCATGCCTGTTCTACAGTTAAGAGGCTGAACTTGTCCTCTGCATATAACTTGTACAATGCACACCATTACTTTATTGATATGAGTAATTTTGGACTGTAACTTGAACCAATGAAAACATAGCAGAAAACAGATGATAATGCTAAGGTTTCAAAAACACAATGTCAACAGCCAACACCACAGACCACTACAGACTAGGGCTTTAATAAACAACAGGAAACCAGGGCTGGTTGAACGCGCTGTCAGCTGCACTTTGCACTCTCTCCTCATTTGAAAATGATAGTTCTTAGTTACAATGCGATGCTACAGTACTGTTAGCTCTCTGGAGACAACTTGAAGCTTATTGAGATGGCAACATGAGGAAGTGTCACTTTACCGTCCACTGGTTCCTTGGTGCAGGTAAAGTGTCAGTGCCGTTGCCAGTTGTAGCTGTTGATCTGCAGCTGTTACAGACACTGGGACTGCCAGCCAAGGATTTGCTCTTTTTGGCCAGGTAGAAGTTCAGAAAGCGGCTCAGGTTGAACTTTCTCTTGTCCTTCTCCATTTCAGCATTTCTCACACTGTTTTATCATCCTACCCATGTCCGCAGGAAGACAAACACCGTATTCCCTCATATAAATCATCTTAAGCCTCACCACATCTCTCCACAAGCACACTTTAGATTCATTTGTGCACTCATGTCAGGATTAGTTCTTTGGACTGCAGAAAAACATAGAAAAAAAATCTCCCAGCCTCTGCCCTCTATCTATTCTCTCTGCAAGAGCCTCCTGTTATTTTATTTTTTTTTACTAACTCTTCCTCTTCATTTTGTCTTTCCTATCCTCCCTCTTTCTCTTTGGCTGTGCTGGTCTGAATAGTCTGGTGTGTCTGACAGCATCTGAACTGAACTGGAACTGAAGTGGGCAGGAAGGAAGAGCTTGCTCTTATTCTCACAGCACCCAACAAGTCCCACACACAAACACACACACACACACACACTTGCAGTGAAGTGAGAGACAGAAAGCTCATGAGAAAGAAAGAGACAGGACAATTAACTGAAACAATACAAAAAAAGAGAGAGAGGTCAATGTAAATATTGAAAACAGATTGAAAATAAAGCAACAAATCACTTTATGTGTGTGCCACTTCCTTTTGCCCACAATTCAACAGAGTAGAAGTCCAAGGAAGGGGTAGGCAGGGATGGAAAGATTCAGACGCGTCACTAAGGATGACAGAGATGTTCCTGTCTGTGGCCAGGCCTGTCCCTCTGTTTCCTATTGTACTGTAATGGTCTATTTCTGATCATCCTGCCTCTGTCTACAGCTCTCACCAGTCTCAGTGTCCTCTCACTCTTTCTTTCTTCCTCCTTTCACTTTATTGCTCTCTGTACAATAAATGCATGTTTAACCAGGCCATTACAGAGCATGAGTCAACTCCTCTCCTGACTTAACAGTGAACTAATCGAGCCGTCTGCAAACATCTGATTACAATGCAGCGCACTTAATACTTGAAAGGTTGATTTTTAGCATTTTTGTGATTACCGAATCTAATTTTTAGGGGGCAGAAAGACAAACATTTAAAAGTGTTACTGCAAGCAACAGTGAGCTGCAGTGTGTTTGCTTAGCGAGGGAGGCGCTTATATGAAACAGTGGCACAGCACAAATGTTCAGAGCTTACCTGGCCTCTAAAACTGGCAAACTCCTTCTCTATCCAGGTGATATGAGACTCGTTCTAGGATGAGAGGACAGTGTGTGGCAATAGAGAAGTTAACATAAGAATATGCTTGGCTTTCCATGAAGCAGACATCGATACGGAGGTTCCCTCCCATATCACAGAAACACAGATGTACTGGACCTCGAAAACACACTTTCACATGGGGACTGGGGGGGTATAAAAGATAGTGATGATTGCCACACCTCTGACAGGAAACCTCTCTTCCCTCCTACTTCTCACTTCCTCTTTTTTTTGACCCGATCTCACTTCCTTCCTGCTCATAAACTCTAACATGTGCAACTAACCTATCAGAATTATCACACATACATTTATTGGCAATATCTAGAATTTAGAGCATGTAGATGAGTAGGAGCAAACACTTATTTGTGCCATTAGAACATACTGCAAATGGTTTCTAGGCCAAACTGATATGAATCCCCATGTTGTTCTAGAATCTAATGGCCTCAGGACATTGAGATGGTTTGGCTAAACAGTTTCAACTTTGAGTATTTTGTGCAACAAGGGATAGGGTGAACACTAAGCTATCGGATCACAGTGAAACAATAAGAGTGTATCTGGATTAGCACTCCCTTGAAAATCAGTTGCACTTGTAACCGATTGAAAGGATAGAAGTTGGAGTTTCAGTGAACTGGCAAAACCAAACCATTTACAATTTAGGGCTAGAGGAGATAAACTCATCCTGCATTTCCTCTCACTTCTCAGCTGAGAAGATGGCAGTTCAGCATCACATCCACTCTTCCTGAGGAAACCCTTTCCTCCCTTCCCAAAATAGCACACCGCACACATCCATCACTCTGGCACCATCCACACACACAGACAAGTTCACGTCCCTAACAGAGGTTAATGACAACCACGTATGAAAAACAGAAGCCACTTGCCTCTCGTGTGCGAGTTTTGGTGCGAAATATGAGCCTCCACATGTCTGTATCCAGATATGTCCATGTCAGTCACTGCAGTCACTTGTGTCAGAAACGTTCTGCCACAGTGTCACACACTATCTTACAGATACACAGCCTCTGTGTCAGAGTTAGCTAACACTCACTGTATGCAATACCACAGAGATACAGTCTGCACACGCACACACACACAACATCAAAATAGGAAGTGAGGTCTTAAAAGTTCTTTTGACCGGCACACTTGTTGCAGATAGAGTAGGAGGGAATGGTTCCAGACACACAGGAAGTGTTTTCTCACTGGGAAAAAGAAGCAGAAATGGAGAGTGTTTGTTTGAGTGACAGACAAAGTCAGGGGAAAGACACTGTTGCAGGGGCACAGAACAGTTTCAGGCAAACTCAGCTGTGTTGCAAACGATGAACGGGAAGTCAAACAAAACAGATTTACTTTGCACATCAAAACATCAATCCTGTTTGAAGTTTGCAATATCCACTGAAATCTCATCTCCAATCTTTCATGACAAGGTTCTTGAAATAGCATAAAACTAACTCATTGCACCAGCCGTAATTAGAAGTTGTATCAGAGTCAACATTGAGTGTTTAGAGTGTCTTTAGAAACTTGCATCTTTCTGAAAGCTAGGTCACAGATGTCAGACAGACATGGTGTAATGCTCTCTGGTAAACACAAGGGGTCAGTGCAGGTCTACAGCCAGGCCAGTGGCCAATGTTCCAAAGAAGACTGTTATGAGATAGGAGCTTTAACCAAGTAAGGACATGTTCACATTATTGGCTCATGTCTCCTCCAAATCTCAGTGTTAGTTTTAAAATCAGCAACAACAGAGGGAGACAATGTGGGACAGAAAGGGAGGATGTGCAAGGTGGCTGAGGCTGGTGTCCTGCTCAAAAGCTTCCCAAGAATTGCAGTGAAGGTCACACAGGTTTAAGCCCTGCAACAGTGGCGCCTTGTAACAATCCTTTAAGCAATTCACTAAAGCCCTAACCTGTTTAATGTGACGATGAGCTTTAGGAAAGAGCCCCAAAAGCAAGAAGACTGGAGGTGGTAAAGGATAAACAGCACAGCCATAATGGTGCATAAGCAGTATTTGTCTCTGTGTCTCTCCCTGTGGAGAGTATTTGTCTCTGTGTCTCTCCCTGTGGCCTTTTCTCTTTTCTGGAACATAGAGAAGCAGCATCTGCACAATTTCAAATGCATGACAGCTCTGTTGGAATGGAGAGGAGGGAAATGGAGAGAAAGTCCGGGCAGAAATGACTAGTGTGCATGGAGGAAGACGGTAGTCTAAACATCAGGCTCAGTCTCATTACTGTGATAACAAATATCCTTCACACACATGGAGGTAAAATACATTGCACAGGTACTCTGGAACACTACTTTGACTATGACTAAGATTTTGTGATTATATAATTAGAGGTGAAGAGAAAGAGACTCTTGAATATACTGTAGGCAGTGAGTCAAAAAAATAATACCGCTATGAAAATATACTTTGTATTTTTAGGTGCCTTTTTCTAATAAAACATACTTTTTAAATTAATTTTTAACTACTAGCTTTATTAATGATTCATTAATCATATATCACCCTCCCACAAATGGATCATTAAGAAAAACATGCCAGCTGGCTGTTTGACTACCTTCTGGAAATAAACTGAAACAAAGAACTATTTATTAAAAATAATCAGCATTTATAACTGTAGACTTGATGGACTGCATAAAACCAAATTCTAATTAAACCACCTGTTTAAGCCCTGCTCAGTGATGGCCTCAGTGTTCTGGTTACCTCAAGTCAACACATCTCCCAAGTTGCACCAGATGCTTGAAACAGGGTGTTAGAAAGTGCTACCTGTTTCTCTTTCTGATTTACTATCCTTTTTCACTCAACACCTTATGGATCACACAACAGACATCCAATAATCTTAGTAGGATTTTGAGAATAAAGATAGATACAGTTATCTTAACCTGAGGAATGTATGTCCAGAGCTCTACAGTTTGACTATGCATACGCAGTAACACAGGAGTGTGTCATTTAGAGACCAAGAGAGTTTCGTGCTTGTGTGTGTGAATGTCCAGACATGTCTGCAGGCGAGCACCCAAATCTGTCAGAGGAGAGATAGGAATGTCTGTCTCTGAAACTCTATGTTCTCTCCCCCTTCATCAGTTCTGAAGGTATGAACCAAAGAGTGCAACATGTTCTGGAGGGCAGGGCTGACACATTCTTCCAACTAATTTCTTTCCATTTATTGTTTTTTTTTCTCCCCCTCTGATGAACAGGCTCTTCCTCTGACACACCTTCTTATTACGCTGCCAAACAGCCTCTCCATCTGCCAACTTCATTTTGCCCTTTCCCCTCCCAGTCATTCTCTCAGTTTGTCTTTTTCGCCCTGTAGCAACACCTACTATGACAGCTAGGAGTCACAAGAAGGTATAAAAGAAGAGGGAGAGATGGCAGGAAGGAAGGAAAGAG